TAGGGTAAGGGTGTGTTTGCGTATAATTTATACAAAAACTTCACAAGGAATTCTTTTTGTTAGAAGCCAAAAGGTGGTTTCATAATCAAAATTTTGAGATATCTATATTGCCTGTTTACATAAACCCCGTGCATACATAGTACAAATAGTGCAAATAGTACAAATGGATAAAATGTTATGTTTTACACAAATTATGTTTAAACATGTACACATCAACATTACAAAGCCTTATAATACGTACATACTTATGTACGTACATGAGTTTCTCTTTATTTTGACATGTAATACGTTCGAATTTCCAAATTATTTTTTGTTCCATACACCGGACTTTCATTTTGGGTCACGGCCTCCCGAAATGAGCCTGATGATTTCGATTTATCATGAATATTTTGTGTCAATATATGCGTTTATCTTACATATAAACACTCGAAAAATATTCGTACAATTCACCTTCGTCACTCGAGAGCTTTCTTACATAGAATATAAGAATTTAAAGTACGTTGACTATTCACAATGTCTTCAACAAATGATTCCTTAAATTCTGGCAATGTAGCTTGGGTTTTGGCTGCAACATGTCTCGTTTGGATAATGACTCCGGGTGTAGGTTTACTATATAGCGGCTTTGCTCAAAAAAGGCATGCCTTATCATTAATAATGCTATGTTTTTTGTGCATTCCAATTGTTTCCATACAGGTTATTTTTTAATTATTCATTGCCTTTAATTATAATCTTTTTTTATTATGTCTTTTTTTAACGTATTATTATTTATTGTTTTTTTAGTGGTTTATTTGGGGTTATAGTTTAACATTTAGCAGAACTGGCGGCCCCTTTATTGGTAATCTACAAAATGCGTTCTTCATGAATCTTGATTGGGATTCTGGTCCAACAGCCTCAAGTAAAAATGTTCCAGAATTCATATTTGCAATCTTTCAGTGCATGTTTGCTGTTATTACCCCAGCATTGATGATTGGTGCTGCTGCTGAACGTGTGAGACTATTACCTACTATTATATTTATCTTTATCTGGTCCACAATTGTCTATGACATCGTCGCTTCATGGTGTTGGTCTGCAAATGGCTGGTTTGCAACTTTAGGTGGTCTTGACTTTGCAGGCGGTATTCCTGTACATATATCATCTGGCGCGGCTGGTCTTGCTTTCTGTTTTGTTCTCGGAAGGCGCAATCAAATTAACAGACCTCACAATCTTATTAATGTAGTCATTGGTACAGTATTGTTATGGTTTGGATGGTTTGGCTTTAATGGTGGTTCTGCCGTAGCTGCTGATAGGCGTGCTATTATGGCTTGTATTGTAACAAATCTTGCTGCCTCATTTAGTGGTCTTACTTGGATGTTCATGGATTTTATTAAATTTAGAAGATTACGTGCTGTTAGTTTTTGTAGTGGTGTTGTTTCAGGATTAGTTGCCATAACTCCGGCATCCGGATATGTTGCTCCTTATGCTGCTGTTGTTTTTGGTATAGCAAGTGGGATTCTGTGTAATCTTGCTTCTGTAATGAAGACGAAGCTTAACGTATATGATGATGCTATGGATGTCTTTGCTATTCATGGTATCGGTGGATTTATTGGAAATGTTCTTACTGGAATTTTTGCTGACAAAGATATTGTTAACCGTAGTAGTAGTGATTCTATAACGATAAAAGGTGGCGCTATTAGTGGAAACCCTTTTCAAATTTTAATTCAATTATCAGGAAGCTGCGTTAGCATGATATACTCTTTTGTGGTTACTTTTATCATTCTCCATATCATAAATATAATTCCAGGACTCTTTTTACGGTTAGATGGAGATACGGACATGATTGAAATGGGTGAAAGTGCTTACTGTTTTGCTGAAGAACAACCTCAAGCTAATGCAAACGGAATGAATGTAGCCCCGACGTTTAACAACATATACAACGAGGATAATGATTAAGATTGAAAAATGTTCATGACAATACTTTTATTTATATAATTGTATCCCTAAAGATAATTCAAATAGATTATTACATGACTAAAGACAATATATGAAGCAAGTAAATTTTAATTAATACAAATATTCAAACAAGTTAAATAGTATTCAATTCGAATAATTTATTTTCTTAGCATTTTAGTTGATTATTAAGATTTTGTATATTTAATTTAGTATTACTTACATAACACAGCATTATCATGTCTAATACTGGTGTTATGGAGCTAAAAAAAAAACTAATGATAATAATAAAGAAATTAAATAGAGGGCTACCTCAGTAATATTCCCATGTCATTGAGAATTCTGTGTTATTGATTCGGCCTGATTTTATCACCCTACTTTTTTTTTATTGCTGAGAAAGATGCCAATATTTGTCTTTTTTTGATCTATAAACTTCACTAAATCCATCAATTTTCTTATATTAATAACCAAACTTATTTAAAATGCAAATGCACCCTATGTGAGCGAAAATTTTTTGATTTAATATTATTATTAAATTAAATAATAGAATTGAATAAATGATTTTTATTATATAGTAGACTCTCTCTAAGCATATTTATTCGAGGCATAAAAATTTTAATATTAAAATTTAATATTAAAAAATTATATTAATAATAAAAACTTGCATTTAGAAAGAGGTTGTGTTTAGAGGATGATATTACTCTATATATTTTATATCAAAAGAGAATTTGCATTTAGAGAGAATTTTATTAAGAGTTGGATCTGGATAACATGTACTTGGAGAGATTTAACAAAATATCAAAAATTATAACTCTTCAACGAGTATTTGGAAGCTTACGAAAGTGAAAGAGTATAATTTTTTTTAGAAAATTTTCTTATTCGCAAAAATACTTATAAATTCGTATCACTTCACGACATTTATTTCGTAGAAAATACTTCTGGGCGGAAATCTTCAATTTTGTGATTAAATAGAATTTGAGCCAATAATATATATAATACAGTGTGATTACTAAGATTAAAAGTGATTATTTGTCGGTGA